GTAGGTGTACAGTTTCCTTACCCCTTTCGGGATAACGACTCCTGTCTCTTAATGATGTACAGGCAGTGCAGAGCAGGAACACTACAGTGCTGTTAAAAAAAATAGGATGTGTCCTGCAGGAAATGTAACCGGTGGTAGCTGGACCTCAAAATACCTGTTCGTATGGGCACCCAGAAGCTCTGGTGCCTGTCCAAGCCTCTTGGGTCTTAAGAATGTCTCGATGTCTCATGAGATCAAGCTCTCTCACAAGATGCCTGTTACTTCCTGTTTTCATTTTGGCCAGAAATAGATTAACAACGGTATTTCCTACTCTGCTCCAGCCAGAAAAAGGAGTTAAGATGTATCCAGTGATGAAAAATATTTTTCAGACTATCTATCCAAACTTCTTGAACTTCCCTAAAGGTTCAGCTGAAGTTTTAGGCACTGGTTCAAGTAGCTGTTGTTGGATCCAAATAACTTTATCCAACCTTATTCACGATCTGGCTCTAAAAATTCTTTCAGACCTGAACCTTGGGATACAAACTCACAAGCCTGGGAATGATTTATTTGTGCCAATTCTTTTAAATACATTTGATTTTAATTTACAAGAGCACAAGAAAAAGTCAGAACTTTGTGGTTTCCAGTGGTTTTAACATGAAAATTCTTACTTTGGGATGAAGTATTGCTGGCTTTTTATCTAAAATGTGTATTACAGTTTTTCTGGCATTTAACAATGCATTTAACTGAGGTGCTGGGAGGGAAAGGGGAGAAATAGCAATTTAATTTACCATACTTTTGGATGAAGATTCTAGGTAATAAATTTGATCTGATGAATCAATCTCTCTTCTGAAAACAAAGAGCCTTTAACTGTTTACTCGACAGACTGCGGGGATTCGGGGAGAGTTCTTGCTGCTTATTGGGTAGATAATGCAGATTGCAGATGATGTGCAGATGATGTGCATTTTGATGAATATTTTCCCACTAGACTGCAACTGTTTCTATCTATTAATTTAGATCTAATGGGAAAAGTGTGTTTCTAGGTAGTTTTAAGCTAGGACTTTTTAAACAGTTAGCACATCGAGGGTATGTTATTCTGTCTACTTAAGCTCCATTGCTGAAATGAACTTTTAAGTGGAGGTAGCATCCGAGATTCCTGTCTTCCATCTATCCCCAAAGAAATCAGGACCTGAGCAAAACCAGTGCTCGCATTCACACCCGAGTGCCTCACTTCTGGCTGGCGATGGGGAGAACATTTACGTTTTCTTGATCTTTCTGACTGGGTTGTTACCAGAGTTACCCAATGGGGTGGCGGTGCCCATGGTGCTTTGGGTGCTAACAGCATATCTGGAAAGCCGAGGTTGTTTCGTAGTCCGCTGCGAAGGCGCCCGCCGCAGGCGGGGCTGCACGCGGTGGCGGTTACGGGCTTAAAAACGCTGTTACGAACGTCGTCCATGCAAAGCTACGGCAGAGTATCATGACATGTATGACTATTTAGCTAAGATAAGCATTCAGCAAAATAAAAAGTGAATGAATTAAAAGCCTCAGACTAAGCTCCAGATATTTTAGCTGTTGCGAGCTGGTGCGGTTCCATTGCACAGGGGGAAGCGCCGCAGATTTGAACCAGATGACGGTCTGGCTCTCAGCGCACAGTCCTGGAATTTTGAATTGCTTTGTAGTAATGTCTTTAACTGATTTCTTAGGTGCGGATTTTGCAAATTTGGCAAATCTTGCCGTTTTGAGCTTCTTTCTAGTGCGTAAATGCAAATATGTATGACGCTGTAAGGAAAAGCCATTCGTTTCGTCTTTCCCGGGGTTGTCTTTTGTCTTTATCGCTAAAAGTAAAGATGTTCAAAAGAATCATGAGAATGTCAGGAGCTTCTCCCGCGTGAATTAAATTATGGTAAAGTTACATTGCTAACAACACTTTAGCGGGATTACGTATTTAAAACACCTTTTGAGGGAGACAAAAGCCCATATGCCAGCAACAAAAAAATAAAAAGGTAAAGCCAGCGCCTGCCTGACCGAGAAACTTCTGCCTGCTTTCCTTTATCCTGAAGTGATAGGGTGACTGAGATAGTCTTTGGGAATTACAGCTGCCATTGAGAGCGAAGCCAAGCCTCACTGTATTTCAGAAAATGAAAATGATGTAGCCCTAAAGGAGGGAGGGGCTGAATCCCCAGGGCATCTGTTTCCCATCAGTGTCCCACCATGCTTGCAGTCTGGCTTGGCACTCTAACATTTAACCTTCCCAGCATGAGGTAGACCATAGGGCAACAAGGCTGCAGAATAATGAAACAAGGGTGTAGTGTGGTGTACGAAGCCTTTGTGAGCAGAGAAGTTGAGACATTAAATGATCAGGGTAGAGAGATATGAAAGTTCCAGATCTTTCTAAAAAGCCCCCATTAGTCTCACGCAGAAGGAAGAGCGCGCCGCCTCTCAGCAGGCGAAGGCGAGGCCTTTCCCCATCTATCCATGCCTTTTTGCCCGCTGCTTTCAACTATTATAAAGATACAATTACCTTGGGAGATTGTGGCAGTTCAGTTGATTAGCACGGTGAATTAAAAGAATGAGTCACAAATGACATGTCCAGCTCTTCTCTACTAGTCCTTTGTATTCCCAGTGTACCTCACCCCTGTTGTAAGAAGGTCAAAAATTAGAGAGAGATAACAATTTTCAAGCAGCTAGCACTTAGGAGCAGAATTAACAATCATTCTGTATGTAATTGCCAGTTAATAGTAAATTGCCTTCTAGACTGTAAAATGCAATATAAACTGGTGGGCACCTAAAATTAAATTAATGAGGTATTTGCTGCATTTAAAAGTGAATAGTGCAAATTAATAACTGGGTACAATACTTGTTTTAATATCTATAGAACAGGGCATCGTTTGCCTGTTTAATAATAATTTTTAAGGTGCTACCTGAAAAATTCGCTATCGGTCTGGGTAAATCGAGCGGTTTTGTGCAGGTTGTAGCCATAACTTTGCTGGTAAAGTCTTCCAGGTTTCTAAATTAAATATCAGAGATTATTTTTTAATTAGAATATAAGCACAGCAGTGTTATTTGATTATGGCAAATTGTGATTTGTATGCTTCCAAATGAAATTATGTTACAGATAAAATTGCACCTTTATACACATATTTTAAGCTCTGTAGATTCTGTTGGTTTACTTTAAGATGAGCGGCAGTACTGTATTTACAATGTATTTGTGCCACTGCGTTACTGTTTTCTCTGAGTGTGTATTTTGCATAATGATTTCCTAGCGAATAAAGGAAGCGTAGTCGGACCCAGCGTATATGAAAACAGTTTCAAAGAATGCTATTTGGCACCTGGAACCTTTCACGCTGACCGCTTTCACCCTAACGTTTCTGTTGCGCACCCTTCTTTTGATAACTTCTTTTGCTCACTTAAAGAAATGCCCCAAATTGTCAGGAGACAACAGATCACTTGCCGTAGACTGTACCCGGTTGCTGTACAAGGTATTGGCATTCGCTTGCAAACATGTCCAAAGCAGACGTAGCGAGAGCGTGAATGTTGAATACATGGAACCATTCCCAGGTCTGCAATGCATTTGCTAGATGTGAACATAAAAATGATTATTTTGCACAAAGACTTGCATTCAATGTTAGGCTTATGAAACCATTACTCAACCAGTAATCGCTCACAGTTTGTGTTCCTTCTGATAGAGTATTTATGTTGAAGAAGTACGGCCGGGCTCGAAGGCTGGCACAGCACCAAGGGGGGGAAGCCCTCTTTGCTCACTAGACTGTCCGGGTTTTTGGTTTGGCTCGGTTTCGCCTCGGTGCGGAGACCTCCACTTTGGCTGGGTTCCCTCGGTTAACCCCCGCGCCACGTCCCTCTCCGAAAGATCTCGTGTTCCTCACGTATTTCCGAGATCTTTTGTGTGCATTCAAATGTGATTCTGTCAATGGCGCTGTTACACTGTTTAGAGTCAATAGCTCCCTTCCATCACAGCCAACACAAACTAGCTGTCTCATAGGTCAGTGCTCTTTAAACAAATTACTTGTATCCACAGAGCAAATGATTGTTAATTGCCTCCCACAAATCATACTATTTTTACTATGCTGAACTACATGCTAATGCCTTAGTTAAATTTAAATCACCTGATTATTTCTCGTACATATTCAATTATTGTTCTTAAGTATGAAATCTGGTGACTTTGCAAAACGAACGCTGAGAATATATGTAATGGATACAGGACTTTATTGGAAAGCCTTAAAAAAAAATTACGGTCACATTCATTTTAATGAAACCCTTAGCATTTCTAATTCATATATATTGCATTTCCTTCTATTTTTTTAAAGTGCTGTTGTCCTGAAGCAACTTACAGTCACTGTTATTACAGTATTGGTTATTTATTGATCAGACCTTGTGTCAGTGTGGGTTGTTAGCAAGCTGAAAAAAATCAAGATAGAACAAATATTCTTGCCCTTTTTTCAAGATGGGTCTTTCTAAGTCAGTCAAAGTTAACATTAAAGAGTCGAAACCAGAAAGTACCTCTGTTAACGCGTTTAACTGCTCTATTGCGCTAGAGTAAAATGTATTTTTCTTAGAACAGTAATGTCGAAGAGCAAGAGACCCCAGTTAACTATCTTTTCTTATAAAGAAGGTTTTTCAGCATGACATACATTTTTAATTAATAGGGCAATGCTAAACATACAGAAATGATTTAGTAGCATCAAGTCAATAACATGTTGGATAATGTATATTATATAATAGCTCTTTTTTAAACAGTAGCAATTCCAGGTTTATCAGGGTCATTGTTGTCCCCTTTCTTTTCTGTCTCAAAGGAGGCCAGAAGAATGAGACATACCATTTGTGCTATTGCACAAGTAGACTATTTGTCCTAATCAGTGACACCCATTTACTAGAATTGCTTAAAATGAACTATACCTCATACAGAAATCGCACATTTAGAGTGTTCCATTCATCATCTGAAAATTGAGGGCCAGTAAACTTTTCTGTTCCTCCAGCGGGATCATAGACATGCATCAAAATGTTAA